CAGGAAGATGGCTTGAGAGCAGGACTTTAAAGCTGTGGTGAGCTATCGTTGTACCCTTTCATCCCAACCTATGGTGTGCAGGCTCAAATAAAGAAATAAATAATGGCACCTGTGGTCAAAGGAGTAAGGCACCAGCCCCATATGCCAGAGGTGGTGGGTTCAAACCCAGCCCTGGCCAAAAACTGTAATAAATAAATACATAAATACATAAAATTGAATAAATTATACAAAAGAAGGCCAAAAAAATTTAATGTGACAAATGACACACAGAATAAATAGAAATCAAAGAGCAAGATGGGAAGATGTTTCTCAATTAAATCACAATTGCATTAAATGTAAATAGTCTAAATATCTCAATTTAAGACCTTCACAGGTTAGAGGTTTTTAAAAGGCAAAATCCAACAATATTCTGCTAATGTGAAACTCATTTTAAATACAAAGACAAAAATAGAATAAGAGTAGAGGATAGAAAAAATATACTACACTAATGCTCAGAAAAATGTCGAAGTGACTATATTAATATCAGAGAATGGATTTAAAAGCGAAACATATTCACTATTCATCCCAAACACATTTATTGAATTTTTTTTTCCCTTAAAGTGTTCTATTATAATACTGTCTGCAATTTCTTAGCCTTTCTAGAAAGGAAAGCCTAGACCAGGAGTAAGGGGTTAACATTTTATTTGCAAACTATAAGCCAGGAGAGTTGTAAGAAATGGTAGTGAGGTAAGGTAAGTGGGAAGCCAGCCATATGGTACATTGTCATTCAGGGGAATGCTCTTCTCAATAAACTACTAAGAGACATAGCAGCCTCCAATGAACTACTAAGAGACTTCTCTGGCGAGAATGCAAACGGGTCACTCTAGACTTGTCTACAGGGGACAGGGAGATAAAGTGTATCGCCCTATCCTCTTGTCTTTCTTTTGTTGGTTTATTAGTCTCAGTTTACACCATAAGGGGCTAACTCCTCTGAACATCTGGGTCACATCTCTAGCCCTTCACCAATTTCTCAGGATGTCATATTCCATGCTCCATGGTGGACTCTATTATCTCAGTTCAAAAACAAACAAACAAACAAAAAAATAGGCAAATTGGTGAGGGGAGGGTACTAATCAGCAGACTAAGACAGAGGGAAAGGTTCTGGGAAAGCTAATAAGACCGACATCGAGCGCATTCATGGTCAAGTTATCAAGTTATCATTTATGTCTGGGTATATTTCTGAGCTCACTGGTCTATTCTACTAGTCTATTTGTCACCACAGATTTACAGTAAGTCCAATGTCTGACAAGTCACCCTAAGCCTTGCCTTACTTTTTTACAGGTCAGTCTTTCACATACATTGTTGTATCTGTTTTCCAAGTTCTAAAAAAGTTAGACTCTTTAATATCAATTAGTATTTCCTCCTAGTTATAAATTTTGAACAAATAAGTTTCTTTACGGTATAGAAGCTTTAGATCCTTGAACATATGTTTTGAGTTTTATTTGTAAACGTCTGGGTTAGATTTGGTTTATGCTTTATGAGCGATGTTGTAATTTGGAAGGATATTCCTTAAATTCCATTTTTAAATCGGCTGTGCTGACGCATCCGTACATTACTGATTTGCATAAGCTGATCTTTATCCAGCAAGCCTGCTGAACCCTTATTACATCTTCCATATTTTACATATGTTCTTTCAGATTTGTTATTTAGACAATCCTCTGTGAATAATGGTTTAGAGTCTTCCTTTAACATCTTTCAGCCTTTTACATCTTTCCCTTTTCTCTTTAATTGTTCTGTCTGAAACCTTCCGTGTGATGTTGAATAAATGTACTGATAGGAATAATCTTTGCCTCATTTCTGTATGCATTTGTTCTGATGACTTCTAATGTTTCACAATGAGCGGTGATTTTGATAGATATGCTCTGTCAGACTAAGGCAGTTCCTTTTTATTCTATTGTACTAAGAGTCTGACTCTCCTGAATTGATTATGAATTTTATCAAATGATCTCTCTGTATCTGTTAACATGATCAGATCCTTCCCCTTGGACCTGTTAATATGCTGAATTACATTACATGGTGTTCTAATGTTTGAATGCATTTCTGCAAGAAAGTCTACATTTTCATGTTGAACTAAACAAAATATTTTTGCTGGATTCAGTTGTGTGTGGGGAGGGAATCCTTCATTCCTTTGAATGTTAACTATATCTTTTCTGTTTATCAGAATAGGCACCCAGCCTTCTTATTTTTATCTTGCCTGATTTTTCAATTTGCTAACCACATTAGTATGTTTTCCATGCTAATTCTTGGTTAGTTGCTTATTCTGTTGCCAAGTTCACTAACATTTTCTTCAGCTATATCTATCTGCTTCTTGAGAAATCTATTCATTTTAAAATGTAATGATTGCTTTCCTTTTCTCGAAGCTCTTTTTGGTGTTTTTTCAACATGACTTTGTTGTATTTCTCATTCTTTCACTATGATTTCCATCCTGTTTTAGAGCTCTCTAAGAAATCTAAACCTTTTAATTCTCTTTCAGATATTCTGTTATTGCTAGATCATGGGGTTAGGAATTTCTCATGGATCATGTCTACTGCCCTCTTCCTGACGAATGTTTGTCTAACGTGGTTTGTAATTTTATTATAATCTTATCTTTCATAGGCACTATTTGTTGTTGTTGTTGTTGTTGTTTGTTTGTTTGGGAGCTCTTCATGTTCTAGGTCAGTGGTTCTCAACCTTCATAGTGCTGCAATCCTTTAATACAGTTCCTCATGTTGTGGTGACCCCCAACCATATTTTCTTTGCAATGAAAATATTATAAACTGGATTGAGTAATGATGAAAAATAAAACATACCTATACTCTTAAGTGTATATTTAAGTAAAGAAAAACTGGGCAATTATAAGATGAATTCATTAGCTAGACATAAAAAAACATCTCAAATCTCTCTGGTTATAGTTGAGACCATGATACTACAGCACACTCATATGTCAAGTTACCATCCAGTTATAATAATTTTATGGTTGGGGGGTCACCACAACATGACGAATTGTATTAAAGGGTCATAGGGGTCACCACACCACAAAATGAAGAACTGTATTAAAGGGTTGTGGCATTGGGAAGGTTAAAAACCACTGCTCTGGGTTATTAATGTAGCTCTTCAGAATGATTTTGGTTTGTTCCTGAGAGGGCATTATGCGTGACATTGTTTCAAACTTGATGACATGTCAACTGTTTGACCTGGTTGTGGTCTTGGCTTGAAGGTGCAATTCACATAGAGTTAATGTGTAAAATTATTTACTCATCTTTATATTTTGTGCAAGTCCCAAGGCATATAGCTTGTTTTCATGGCCACATCAAGTATGTAATAGCTTGTGAAGTGCTTGGTTAGAGCTCTCTATCTCCTAAGACCCTAAGGATATCATCCCAGCCATCAGCCCTTTCAACTTTCACCTAAATCCTATTCACTGTTATTCCATAGCATCAAACCAAGCTTATTACATTGTATTTGAGTTTTCCTTTGTTCTTAACCTTTGCCTTTTCTTATGTCTTGGCTGTACATTTAAAATTATCATGGTCACAATTTATCCATCATTTCCCTGTGTTTATAGCAGGGAAGGACTCACTCCACTGTTGCCAAAAGTCCTGATCTATTCATTATTCCCCAACTTATCTCTTAATTTTTGATTTACCTACATGAGCCCACTGTGTTACTATTATTTCTTAATTCCCTGTTATCTGTAAATGTTTCTATCATCATTGTATCCAAACTTGCATACAGTGCTAATATTGCCACTTGTATACAGTGGCAATAAGTACTATCCTTAAAACTTTTAAATGTACATATCACTTTTCATTGTCTAAACTATAAACTTTTTGAGGCCAGGGACTATGCCTCATGCTACTATAGTTCTGTCTCTTCTCTAGTGGTCATTTAATTCAAATTTACTGTTTTAATCTAATAGAATAGGAATTCAAGAAAAAAGAGTATGTGTCAAAGAATGTCCTAGAACTTTACATATATTATAGCATTAATTAGACCCTCACAGGTGGAAGCCTTGGGAACACGAAAAGCTCTTCCTACAGGAGAAAACCTGCAGGTATCCTGACCCTCACACTGAGGCCAGTCTGCCACTGAGCAGCTTGCAGCAATGACTATGCCTGTGCACTCGAGCCTGCCCTTCCTGCTCAACACTAGATTCCTCTCATGGGCCGTCTTTGCTCAGGGGCTCTCATTGGCCTGCGTGGGACATTTTCCTAGTTGCGCTGAGGCTCTGACCCCTCTGCTTTGCCCCCACATGTATCAGGTCTGCATTAGAGTCCGCTTGCCCACACGCTTCCACTGTGTCCATCCTTTATCAATACCTCCCTTCCACTTCCAAATTCTACCTGCCACCTGCTTCCCAGGGGAACCCAAACTAGGCCATTGCTTCACCCTCTTTTTCAAATGAGGAAACTAGGGCTTTAAAAGATTAAGACACATTATCAAATATACACAGCTAGTTAGTCAAACAGTCCAGATTTGAACCCAATTTTATCTGACTACAAAGCCTAGCTGTTTTACCACTCCCTGGGGTGATATAAAAACAATGCTTAGTGGGAAGTGCTGCCTTGCCATCTGTGAATGTTCCAGGGTCATTGTGACATCACATTATTCCTACAGGGACCCAGTTGTCTTAGTTCCCATTCTGAAGGTGTTTGTCAGGACATAAATATTTAATCCCACTATTTCCTGACTCGAGACAATGCAGAATGGAAGCTTTTGCCTCAAGTAGCCAAAAGGAACCCACATTGAGCATAAGAATCCTTCACTTGAGCATTTATGATTCTGTTGACTGAATCTGATACCATGTACCCAAAGGAAGACTTGAATGAATATTGATAGGTCAGAAGCAGGTGCGTCTGAGCTGCAATAGATACAGAACTAGAAATGTTTTATTTGGAAAATTTTTCTCAGGCTAACTCTAATGCTTAGGTTAAGGGCTAGATATCAGATTTTTCTTTTTTTTTAAAAAAGTATTTTTTTCTCATTAGATGGATAGTATGCTGAAATCATAACAAGGCATGAAGGAGGCTCGTCTCCCACATGCACATGAACACCTAATTATTACACATGTGAAATGAAAAAGGGTCTGGATATCTGATTTTCTGAACCACTCTCAGATTCCTCTATCTTTATGCTCATTACATCAAATTGGAGCTTGTTGTTCATATAGCTGCCTCTGCTTCCCCAAACATGTGGCACAACCAGAACTCCTTCACACAAACCCCAAACTCCATTCATACTCACCCATTCCAAAGGCTTTACAGACTTACAAGATGGGGACAAAATTCTTCATGATCAGAGGCCTGGTTTCTAGCACGAAACCATGTAGTAATGGGCACCCAATGCATACTTGTTAAATGCTTTAAATAAGTAGGAGATGTTATAGCTATTATAAAATATTTTTTAAAATTATAAATGAAAGGCAGTAAGTCTCTGCAGCTATTACAAGGTGATTGTAGTATTTGTTGGGGGTACCAGCTAAATTGCTTTAACAAAAACCAATTTAAAACAGGGTAGATTGAATAAGACAGAAATTTCTCTCTCTACTACCCCTAAGTAATGGCTCCTGGACTACAGGAACAGCCCTGACACTTCAAATACATGGCTTCAATCCCAGAGTCAAATCGTTCCTTCAGGGCTGGATGTGTCTAGCCAGGAGTAAGGAAAAAATGGTGCAGGACCCAGCACACTCAATTGTTTCAATGGCAAGACATGGACCTGGTACACATCACTTATTCTTCTTTCTCCATTTGTCTAGAACTTAGTCTCACAGGCAACCTTGCTAACTGAAAAATAGACTCTTCGGTGGAATGACTGTATGTCAGTGAAGTCTCTATTTCTGTGAAATTAGAAAAGACTGTATATTTGGACAAGTAATCCTGCTGGAACTCTATATAGCAAAATATCTTCTAACTAGAAGAACTGAATTAGAAACAAATAGGTCAGCTGTAAATTAGCAGGCTACTTATTCATATATTTGAGCAGAAGCAACTACCATTTGCAAAGCAAATTTTAAGATCAATTACTTTTCTCCCAGTGACAAGTTCAAAGAGCTCGCCATCAAGGTCTATGATTTTTGTTTTATTTTGTACACAGGGTAGGGTGTATGGTACATAGAAGGCTCTGGATGACCTGCTTTCTCCACACTGTAAACTCTTTCAGAGTAAGGACAGTGTCAGCTTTGAAATCAGCCAGACTCAGAAAAATACATGGGAAATTATAGACTAATAACAGGTAAATGTACAGCTGTTGAACAAATGAATTAATGACTATTAAAAATGATGGACTGGTAGCAAAAAAGGAGATGCAATAGATTTCTCTTTTAATGGAAGATTGTATTGACATTTAGTGCTTAAAACGCTCAGGTTTTGTATCATAAAAATATTTTATTACATTCATGAAAGATATTGCATAAATATGAAACACAAATATACGTTGAGTGTATTATTTGACATTTCTCAAAAGCTGGCGGCAGTACTTTCTATTCTGGAGTCTTAGAAATGATGATTCTTTTTTCTTAAAAATATAAAATGACCGTAAACCCATTGTTTTACACTCGTATACCTCACATGAATTTAAATCTATGTTTCGATTATAAATTCAAATAGTTGTTTGAATTAAAAGAGGTCCCAAAGTAAATAACTTAAAATGTCAGCGTCCCCGGAGGAGGACATTTTCAGCTTTCTCTCTGCGTCTCAGTTTCTGGTAATTAAGATTCTCTCCCCTTCTCAGACATACTCTGGGGATAGGGTGGCAAGAAGAGAAATGTGACCCATTGCATGTTCCCTCTCTCCATCTCCTTCCCCCAACCACGCTCTCTCTTGCCCTTTTTCTCCCCTTCTCTCTCTTTTCCGCTCCCACCCTTCTTTCTCCCTACTCCTATCAAAACCCTTCTATTCATATTTGTATGTTCTATCCAGATCTTTTCTGGGACTTTTACCCAGATTTTTTATTTATTCCTCAAGCCAGGTTGTTCAAGTACACTAATAGGTTTTACAGGATGTCAAAATCACATGAAAAAGTGAAGAGAAGATGAAATAGAGATAAAAGAAATAATAACAATTCTTTCTATATTTAATAACTGGTACAATCATCCAGAAACCATGTCTGTCCTTGGTAGAATTTTTTCCCCACTTTTATTCTTTTTTCTCAGTCTTCCTTATTCTCATTTGCTTTGACCAGGTTTTTAAAGAACAGGTGGTTAAATTTTGATTAAGCATATTATAATGTGCCATACACTCATAAATTAATAGAAGTGTGATTATTATATCAGCTATAACTCATGTACTCACTATTATTCCAGGGATGATGAAAACCAACTCTATTCCATGATAGTGGGTGAAAAATGCATTCTCTACACAAGTAATAATATCAAAGACTCAGTTATATCCCGAAGCAGCTATTCTGGTTTTTACAGCAGAATCTATTTAAGATTTTTAAATGACATGTCTCTTGGAGAAGAATAGGATATTTGCTCATATGTGAGTAATGCTGAGTGGTTTTTGTAGAGGTCTCTTGTGAAAAGCTAGGAGCTTACTTGGATGGCAGTACCATTTTGAGAAGCAGATGAAATCAGAGAGCAGAACCTATCAGTCAGTGATGGATGGGAGGCTACCTATGGCCTAGTGTGTGGATAAATTGGCCATGTCACTTGTGTGCACCACTGATGTCCTAAGTCACTGTTCAGGGAGCCTCTATTTTTCACCATGCTCACTTGAGTTCTTTGCTTATTTAATATTACCCTACCAAGACCAGTACTTTACTTTTGTCAGACTTGACCCATTAATTTGATAATTCCCAGATATATCAATGGCAGAGGCACATACATCATCAAGATTCACTCTCAGACATAATCTGCAAGAATGGCTTGCAACATCTTGCTGCCACAACCATGAAACATTTCCTGGGGCTACAGATTGGCCTTACACATCCAGCTGTCAGATAGCTCATGTGACCTTAGCTAAATTATTTCATTTTCCTGAGTTCATTTCTTCCTCTATAAAATAGGGAGTTAAAATAAATGATCTCAAATGTTTCTTCCAGCTGTTTCCTCTCTCCTTAAAGGGCCCCCTATACCAAGGGCCATGAAGCAGGTCACATGTGACACAGCCTCATTACAGCTGGCAGTCGTGTTCATTTCTGATGAATGGAATACAACTTAGAAATTCATTTTTCTTTAGTTGACAATTCTCCCGCAGTCTCTGTTAATAATTGTCATGCAGCATTTTGTGGAAACTCAACAAAGACAAGCCTCCTCAGACAGCCTACAGAGCAGTGCAGCTCCATATTCTGGAATTCTCCTTGGCTATTGGACAGCTCCATCCTGCTCTTCCCTTGTCATTAAGATGTCCCACCTGTATACTCCCAAGCCACCTGTCCCTCATTCTTGGCATCAGTCACATTGTAGAGTAATTTTTAGGTCATTTTCTTTCTTGATGAGACTGGGAGCTCTTTACAAACAAGAAACATATTGCTGTGAACTTTTTTCTACTCTGAGTAAATTCTTCTGTGTCCATTCCAATGGCCTTCTTTAATAATCCCTTTAATGCATGACTTTAAGTCACTAGCCATCAACAATGATTGAGTGGGGCCAGACAACCCAAACCTCATAGCCTCTTCTCTACGAGTTCCCAACTAAAAAATATCCAATCACTTTCCAGCATCATGAAACATGAGTGGGCTGAATTAAGTGCAAGCCTGGTGTAAAAGGTAATGCCAAGATTGTCCAGTATAGTGGACCAGAACCAGCAAGAGTCTGGCACTACCTCTTGTGAAGCACAACTATTATATTTAAGAGAACTCTGGAGGTAAGAGACAGCTCTCAACAATACATGTAATTCAAAATCAAAGAATGTGAGAGCCAAAAGAAACTGTTTATTTAGAAATGCCTCAAAGTTAGAAGAAGGCCAAGAAGTCCTGTAGGCAGGCCTTTCATCTGGGCATTCCTCAGACCACATAGGTGTTTAGCATTTATACGTATCGGGCACTCAGTTTGTTTGATAATAGGTCTGCACTACAAAATTCATTGTTTTAATCATTTGTCAATTAATTCATCTTGTAGTTAAGAAAACTCTAAGTGACACAGAAGTGAAGAGAATTATGAAATATACAAGTTGTCGAGCCAACTTGGATGAGAATGAGATCAAAGTTCTGCATCCTATCCACTAAGTCCTATGTCCTGTTTATTTTCTGTTAATCTAAGGACAAAAAAAAAAATCCTTCTTATAATTACATTTATTATTGCAGTATAAGACGCACTATCATACTGTTTCTAGGAGTTAAGAAACCCAGCCCTTCCCTTTTATTTTTTAGTTTCAGTCAAGCAGTTCATTTCTCTAGTAGAATTCCAAAGTCAAATTCCATCTAAAATATTATTAGCTTACCAGTTGGTTTTGAAAAATATGTTTTTAGGCAATGTGACCCAAAGCGTGTTCTCTTGACAGAGTGCTGGCCTCTTGACCAAAACGCTACCCACCCTCTTGGAGTCTACAAACTAAAGCACAGGAACTGGACTATTTTTCTTGAGCCCATGTTTTTACAGTGCTATGGGTTGCAAAAATTGAGTATTTTATTCTCAGAAATGTGGCCCATTAAATACAATTCTGGAAGTCTTTTATTTTTCTTTTCCTTACACAAATCCTTCCTTTGCTCCTGTTAGTTCTGCCAACCTCTGACATTATCCTTCCTTGGGCTCCTTTTCTACCATCATAGAAACTGAAGAGATTCCTTTTATTATTTTTTCATACACACATTACACTTTTTGGGTGGGAGGGGATTAATATAAGTATAGGATTAGCTTACACTATTTGCTATTTGCATGTGTTAGGAAAAGCCCTACTGTTTTTGAGTCCTTTGCCCAGGAGGTGTGCCATATACCCAGTACATTGTACTCATTAGATGGGAACTTACTCAGACCCCTTTCATCCTCTTCCCCACCCCCTTCTTGAATCTAATTGTGTTTTCCTCTCAGATGGGCCTGTAGTTGTTCAGCTGTCTACTAGTTTCCAACTAGTATTGAGTACACGAGATGCTTGTTTTTCCATTGTTGAGATACTTTACAAGGAGAATGTTCTTTATCTCCATCCA